GGTATTCCTATATTAATTGGTGTATATGTTCGTATCCATTATTAATTGGGTGTATATGTTCCTGGTATCCATTATTAATTGGGTGTATATGTTCCTGGTATCCATTATTAATTGGGTGTACATGTTCCTGGTATCCATTATTAATTGTTTTTGTTTCATTTAGTTTATATTACGCTCTATTATTTTATTCATTATCCTAAAAGTGATCATATTAAAAATTTTAAGCTGGAATATAAGCACTTCTTGGTTTCCAACCAGAATAATTTAGGTTCTTAGTATCCATCAAGGAATACCATGCATTTCTTAAAGTCACCTTTTAGCTCATTTTTGGAATGCGTGGTTTTATTCATCCATAGTGTACTCGCAGGTGATTTCTCAGATTGTGGTTTCTCGTCTAAGGACGTATTCTGGAGCTGAAAAGAATGGGTCCTAAATATCTTAGTTTTATCTTCAGCAACCTGAGTTCTTGTGATCATAGCCTTCATTTCTTGATCATTCTAAACAAAAAAAAAATTAAAAGAAACTTTCAAAAGTTAAAAAACTGCTGTATAAAAAGAGTTCCTAAAAATGAGTTTTATTTAAAATTTAAGCAAATCTAATCATTATGTCTTCAAGCATTACATTTGATGTTTGAGTTCAAAACTTGAATAATATATTGATTAGGTTATTGTGAAAATCGACTTGAATCTTCAAATATATATTCTAATTGCCTTCCTATTGTGTAGTATTGGAACTTACCTCGGAAAAGACACAAAGTTGATAAAAAATAAAACAAAACACTGGTTAGAGAGCTTACATTGCAATATTGTTATATTAAACACAATTTTGTTATTGGTTTCTTGTTTTCAAAGTCACAAATTAATAACGATGGGAAAAAATAATCATTTACTTTCTAATGAGAACGACGAACATAGTTTAAGCTGACAGCAATGGTCTAAAGAATTAAAAAAAAATAGTTATGAGATTTCAAAGGTCATGCTGCAGTACTTACCGGTAAGGATTCTGTCCTTCTCTGTGATTGGTGGTTTTTGGAATTTCCTGAGGCACCATCACTTTCTGAATTCATAAGTGCCAGGCGATAATGAAAGCCATCTCTACTTGCCTGTAGTATTTGATAATTTATTAATTAAAGTTAACTTGCAAATAGGCTGTAAGCTTAATGTTACTTTTTCAATAATAATAGCTATAAGTATACCTAATCACAAAAGACTATTTTAAGAAATTACAAGTTTACACAAGAGTAACAATTTTTTGAACGCTTGTTTCCTCGTTCTCTCTCTCCTCCCTACTCTTTAACTTATCGCATTATCTGTATCCCGTGTAAGATATTCTCATACTTATTTCTAATCCTCAATCCTATTATATACTTTATTATTATTATGATCCCTCACAATCGTCGTCTTTTACTTGTTACTTGCATTATATCTCTATGTGGTGACTTAATCTCTCAATATATACGCGTTTTATTTTCATTCTTGCTATTCGCCCTATTTTCCATTATCTCCGCTTTGCGTTCTCTTCATTGTCCTTCAAAACCCACATTCGTATATTCTGTATTCCTTCTAAACTTTACATTCTTTCTCCATCTCTCGCTCTTATTTTTCTTTTGTCCCCCAGTGACACAGTGGTATGTCTGCAGACCCACAACGCTAGAGACCAGGCAGACCACAGATAGCCCAATGTGTAGCTTTGTGCTTCACTATAAACAAACACTTTTTTTTCTTGTATGTTGGAAAATTGGTTTTAGTGATTTAGTTGTTACACATACGTATACAGTTTCTATCAAAGTGGCGGCTATTAACTGAATGACCCATATTCATTGGACATATTAAATTCATAAGAGTAATACCATATTTACAGCGGACCCATGTTCATAGGACATATTAAATTCCAAAGATTAATGACGTATTTACAGCGGACCCATGTTCATAGGACATATTAAATTCAAAAGAGTGATACCATATTTACAGCGGACCCATGTTCATAGGACATATTAAATTCAAAAGATTAATGACGTATTTACAGCGGACCCATGTTCATAGGACATATTAAATTCAAAAGAGTGATACCATATTTACAGCGGACCCATGTTCATAGGACATATTAAATTTAAAAGAGTAATACCTATTTACAGCGGACCCATGTTCATAGGACATATTAAATTTAAAAGAATAATACCATATTTACAGCGTACCCATCTTCATCGTACATATTAAATTCAAAAGAGTAATACCATATTTACAGTTTACGAATAATACCGACTATTTGTTTCCATGCCATTGGGAAAAGTCAACAGATTAGAATTAATAAGGGTGACAGTTGTAATATGTTTTGCTATTAATTTCTAAAGTACAGAGTTCACTTAGAGTTTTAATGATCTTCAAGCTTCATTAGTTCTATCGCGTTCGAAAAAAAAAACACTTTCGAATCATTCCGACTTTGTCATTATCATCCTCATTTCCTTATTAATATTTTTCTACTCTGACTTTTTTATATCCACAAGTGACATTTAAATAATATATAAATTGTTGTTGTTTTTTCAATACTGTTACATCATTTGAGAGGTGTATTAATTTATAATGTACTTGCTACGTTTATATGTTCGTTCCACATAAAACACTTAAATTGTCATTAAAATGTCCACGCGGTATGAACACGGCTATATTAAACAGGAAAAGTCATTTTCAATGTTTTTCACGGACGTCAGGAAACAATTTTAACACGCGCGTCTAGGCTTAGTGACATTCGAACGCAATAATATCAGCGTTTGTTTATTACACATTCTACAACCAAAGGAAACTAATGGAAAAAATTTAAAATTGATGCTCAAAATACATTGGATCACATCGGCGGTTGCTAAGTGCAACAAAAGAAATACACATACTAACACACGACTTTAAACAATACGGAACCACAGCCAACATTTTCACCAAGGTGATGATTCTTAATTCTCACTGCGCCTTTCAAATTGTGTTTCTACGCTATATCAATTTGAAATAATGGTACCCGCTTCTCCGACTAATTAAATAACACAGCGAATACCCGCTATACACGGTGCGGAAAGTCATTTGAACACGAGACAATAAACAACAGGGGACCGCAGGCGGCTGTTTTGTCGAGATGATTTTACCTAATTTGTACAGTGTCGTATAAGGAATTCCTACGTCTAATCAATTTGAAATATTGGTACGACGTCTTTTCAATAATGCATTAAATTCATAAATACTTCTAACATATAGCATAACTCATTTCGTTTTCTACAATAAAAAAAAAATATTACAATTTTGCAAATGGGTAAACAAAAGATCACTCAGACATTAGCAACTTCCACAAATAATAGATTCGTTCGTTTGAGTATTTTCTTCCTCATACTGTTTTCACTCTTTTTTCAATAGTTTTCGCTACGAAAACCTCACATTAAAATCGTTTCTACAACAATGACCAATAATAATAACGCTTTACGGGTGGACTCTTATAACTAAACGAAACGAACTTATTGTGTTTTTCCCAATATTTTTATTCTGTTGTTTTAGCTCTCAGGATTAATGTCTCCCAGTGGGACAGCAGTAAACTTACGTACTAAATACGTCAAAATCCGGGATTCGGTTCCTCGCGGTGGACACAGCAGATAACTTAATGTGGTTTTCCTCTAAAACAAATGAACTCAATATTGATTTATTTATTTCATCAATCCAAAACAGCATTTTTATTAGATAAAAAAAACTTGATTTGTAGAGTTTAGTTAATGTTTTAAGAAATATTTACAATTGTTTAATAAATTCTGTAGTAAAACAGTTCGCATATTTTATGTATTTGTAAAATTGATGCACCTTATTTCAGTATTAACGCTCCACTTAACCAACTTATAAACACAGGCGGTGGAACATATTTGGATTTGTGGACACAGTCGATTAGAAATACTTTATTTTAACCCTAACCACTGGAATCAAACCTGAAACACCAATTTTCTCTAATAACTATAAACAAGTCGCTATCCCCCATTCAAAGGAGCACTTTGCTGTCAGGTTAAAACTGAGAGGGTATGTGCCTCCAGTTCCCCCTCCCCTTGGCTATGTTACCTATGCTTATAGATACATAACGAAATTGAAAACGAGAAGTTAAGCAGATCTAAGCTGATTTAAAGTTGACTTTTTTTTGGCCGATACTTAAGATGTTTGTTTGTTTTTTCGATTTTGAGCGAAGCCACATTGGGCTATCTGATGTGTCCATCGCGGGAAATCGAATCCTACAGTTCAGCGTTGTAAATCCGTAAACTTACCGCTGACCCACCAGGGAACGCATAAGCCTCTCGAGAATGCTTAGCTGCATTTCATCTTCAGCGCTACTTATAGGGTTAAAGTAAACCAGATCTTTAAGTACAGATAATAGACCTGCTATGCTGTAAGACGTAACAATGAGTTTGTGAACAAATGAAAGCGTACCTTAAGAAGTAGCATCTTTCGAATATAAAAATACGTCTTAGGAATGACCTCTGACTCAACCAGAGAAATTTACAGTATTGTCCCTAACAAATCTTGGAATGCATAAATATATTACGGAGATTTGTAGAGCGTGATCTGACGAGCATTTTGCTGCTTTTGGAAAGATTGGAAGTTGTATGAATCAAAAGTTAAACAATGCGAAAGTCGAGCAGCTTTTGCTAATGTTCATCAACCATATGACCAGCAACGGTCACCTTAGTAGCCTCCGACAGAAATGTTCTTGATTTCTGTTATTATTGGCTAGCTTTGTCTGTTCTTTTTCTATATTACCTGTAAGCTATCACTACGAACTTTCAGTTAATTTTCCTCATCATCATTTCTTTACTGTTTATCTTCCCCATTTTTGATGACTCTTCGTCGTGTCGCTATTAAATTTATTTAATGTATGTATAGAATACATATACAAGATGTGGCATTTGTCCCAATAGTGCTGTGGAAACAAGCTATATTAGTCAAATTGTTTATAAAACAAAATATATTGTAAACACATTATCAATATAAATTAAGCAGTTAATAAATCAGCTTAAAAGACTCAATTCGGATCTGTCACGAATATTTTCAACAAATTATTTCCGCTATTAAACATGACTAGATCTGATTTTGTGAAGATCTTAAAACGAAAGTATAATAATGGTTAACACCTCGAAATCACTGCCAAAGCCTTGATAACTCCTGAATCACTGTAAACCTAGTAGTTTGAGAAGAAATCAGTTCATAATATGCTTGTATGTGTGTCTGTGTAAAAATAATTGTATTAAACTATTCATGACTTTGGATCATTTGTTTGAGCCTTCATGAATACAGGTTATGGGCCAATTTACCATTTCTTGCAGTAAAATCAGTAGTATTTGCTTGAATGGACGTTATTTCGTAAATAAAACGTGATTATAAGATAACATTAAATTTATTGAAAGGGTTTTACAACATTGAACTTTAAGGGTTCATGCAGTATTATATTTGAAGTCTAATGATACAGGGGCTTCGTATGATTTAGAAGGTGAAGTCAAATCTTAGATATAGAACCGTATGATTTAGAAGGTGAAGTCAAATCTTAGATATAGAACCGTATGATTTAGAAGGTGAAGTCAAATCTTAGATACAGAAACTATGATTTAGGAGGTGAAGTCAAATCTTAGATATAGAAACTATGATTTAGGAGGTGAAGTCAAATCTTAGATATAGAAACTATGATTTAGGAGGTGAAGTCAAATCCTAGGTCTGAAACCATATAATTCAGGAGTTGAAGTCAAATCGTTAGGTGTCAAGGAAGTAACTTTTCTTAGTGGACTTTACACCACAAAGTTAACGACACTCATGTAGTGTTTCTTGCAGGACATTAATAGAGAACTTGTTTCACAGAATCCTGATTACTGAAACAATTCAGCAATAGCTACTGTTATTTTACGATTTTCATAATGTATTTACTTTCATACCAACATATAATTTCCATTGACTATGGAGTGGCCGTGGCCTACTGGTTAGCCTGCCAGACTGTGAATCTGAAAGTCCGTTGTTCGCTTTCCATTGCCGCAAAAGCGAGCTCCACATTTTGGGCCTTGGGTATGTTATATGAGTGACGGGTAGACCCTGCTATTCGATAAGAATATCCCAAGATTTGGCAGTGAGCGCTGTTGACTAGTTGTCTTCCCTCCAGTCTATCAGTTAAAAACTAGGAACGGCTAACGAAGATAGCCCTTATAGAGCATCCGAAACAAACGAACAGATGTGTAATATTCCAATTCTAGGTAACCATATTAATGTATAGGTAACAGTCGAATGCAAGAAACGTTTCTTTTGAAAATATCAAGGCTCTAATAAAAATAATTACGAACTTGTCTAATGGCATGGCTTGGTGCTCGACTCGCAGTATGCCGGTCGAAGGGCGAAACCTGTCGCTGAACATGTTCCCCCCCTTTCAATTGAGGAGGTGTTATAACTTGACGTTCAGTCCCACTGTTAGTTAACAAAGAATAGCCCAAGAGTTGGCCATGGGTGGTGTTGATTAAATAGCTACATTTCCTAAGTTCTATCACTTCATGGTTATGGCAAAAAAGTCCTCAAGTAGCTTTGCGTGAAATTCAACAAACAAATGACAAACTAACTAAGTACGTGTAACCGTCTTGTCTTACTTTGGGTATTAAAATACTAACTATCTATTTGCCAGATAGTAGCATGTAATTTATGAAGTTAATATTCCCGGGTAACTGTTACTAATGAACAAATGAACTTTTTGAAAATTAAAGTAGTAGTAGTATCTTAATACATTACAGACGTTATGACAAACACATTTTATTAATTAAAAACCAATTTGTGTATATAATCAGTGTATGAATAGAAAGTATTTAACATGTTTGAAATTAATATCATTTATTTTGTCTTGGCACAGCGGCTTACAACGCTAGAAACTGGGTTTCGATACTCGTGGTGGGAAGAACATAGATAGCCCATCGTGTAGCTTTGTGCTTAACTACAAATCAACAACACGCAATAGTGTAGCCTAAAATTAATCTTGTTTTTAAGTGAATAATATCACGGAGAACGAGGAGGAAGCCTTTTTTCTTTGCTTATTTTCCTCATCACGTTTTGAAGGTTCCTATCATCCCTTGATTACCCTTAGCATCACTCTCTACATTACATTACTGGACCCCAGATTCAATATCGAACTACAGCGGGTAGGATCAACTAATATAAAGAAAACGTTATATAAAATACGTTGAATGATGTTTTCGCGTAATCCTGTTTTCAAAAATACATAATCAAAGTCACAGTCATTGAAATAACCTGATAGAACATAAACATTCGAGCGTGATGGTGAAAATAACAAAATCCTAAATAATAGCCCTTTGAAGCATTGATGCTAGAAACATGACTACTCGGACTTCACTGGCCACATCATAACTAAAAACGTATTTCTTGCGAATAGATAACAACGCCAGTGTGGAGAACTTTAGTACAAAGATAAGAAAAAAAAATATTCAGATATTTGAAGAATATCCAAAAGTAAACTTATTACGAAGATGGTCTAAAAATATGTACATGTTTTCATTTCTATGAAAATTGTTATCAAACAAAACGTTTTCTGTATTTTTTTATACGTGAGTGTTTGTGTTTTTACCAGATTTAAATAGTTCTCTGCAGAGCTGTAGGATATAGAACGATACGTTTCTACGTGGAGGGGTAATAGAAATATTTGTTTAGTGATCGTTTGCATTACCTTATTCTAAACAATGTGTTGTGATATCATTCTTACCTGTAGACCCACGATCCAAATCATCATAGACTCGTGATTGTCAGCCACCAAAACATATTCCTTGTTTTCAGAGCTACCAGAAACATGAAGCAAACACAGTGAGCATGTATATGACCAAGCTATCTTTCGTTCAATATTTAAGAGAAACAAAAAGTAAAGCACTAAAATAGAAAGTACTGGACTGAAAGTCAAATGACGTTTATAATACAAACATGGCTGAACCGTACATGAAATTTTAAACTAAATACACTTAGCATATATTTTTACAGCTATTTCAGTGAGATACAAAGTGTTTTAAGTCGTAAACTGTGTACAATAGACTGTTTGTACTTTTTTTTATTAGACCAAACTGTGTTGTTTGTGTAAGGAAAATATTACAAAAAGTAAACAAAAAAAAACTACCGCTTAATAATCTTACGTAGATACGCTAAGATACTTACTTGAAAATATGCATATCAAATTATGTAGGTTTTCCTTTGCATTCATAATGAACACATCTGTAAATCTTGAGGTATGTCTTATACAAGAAGCCAAGCCTATTGGAATTATACCCACTACGAGAAAAATCAGCCTTACACTGACTTTTTTATACTTGCTTAAACCATAGAATTATTAATTGAGGTGCATTTGGACCCCATCGGTTTTATAAACACATTTATCCAACCTACTTATGCACGAGATTTTTTGTGGGTCCAGAATTTTATTGGTTACAGAGTCCCTAATAACGTACAAGTCATATAAAACATTTGAAACAGAAATGTCGTCAACACTGTAGTTAGATCTACTAATCACTACTATAGTTTTTATGTATATATTACATCTAAAATAAAATATTTCACACAGATGTTTTTGGTCACTTCTTTATAACGGGCATAAACATAAAGTTACTCAATTTAATGCAGTATATGGACCCCAATCGAGGGTGAAAATGGCATATATGAGAGTTATTGTACAAGAAATACAACTTCTCGCAGGCGTCGATACGAGCAAAAATCAAAAATGTTCAAACTACGTTTTTTTTATTATCTCTACCTTTTAATTTTGCTCCAAACGAGAAATCAAAGTTTACAACCATGCAAAACACACGTTTTCAATAGTTAGACAAGAAAGTAAGACCGGGCGTGGCATAGTGAGTAGCATTCTCAGACTGTGAATCCTAGAATTCTCGGCTCGCGACTCTTTGCCGCTGAATCGTGCTCCGTGGGTACGTTATAATAATGACAGTCAAATCCAACTATTTCATTAGAGTTGCGGTGGGTGCTATTCACTAGCTGCCTTCCCTCTTGTATATCAGTTCTAAAACAAGCAAACGCAAAGAAATATGCATCGATTACGTTAACGTCTGGCAGGGAGTAACCTAAGATGATTCTAGAAATTTCTCAAAATGTACTAATATTATTATTATTATTATGATATTCAGTTAGTTGGTGAATATTATGATAATTCAAGTACCTAATACTGTTTTAACACCTTTTTTTTCTTCTTTTTTGCTCTAAAGTTGTTGTTGTTGTTGTTTATTATTAAGCACAAAGCTACACAAAGGGCTATCTGTGCTCTGCCGGGTTTCGATACCCGTGGTGGGTTTCTATCGTTGTAAGTCCGCAAACATACCGCTGTGCCACTGGGGGGCGGTATGGCAACTGGAAACAGTCCGACGATGTACATGGATTACTTTGTTTTAAGATTTCTGCCCGAGTAGGGAAGTTAAAAACAAAAGACCCTAACATAAGGCATATTTTCACTTTCGATGACGAGGAACCCACTTTGAGACTAATAATGGCTGGAGTACCTGATGATGACAAAACCTTGTCGAAACGTTGTACATTTGCTGTCATGTTAAACTTATATTAAAGTTTTTCTTCATTACCCATTTAAGCCGTCTCCAGCCATTATATTTTCACTTTGTTATAGACTTTTGTCTATGAATTTAAAGACACAAGTACTTAATCAGTTAAACGCAATGATTACTATCTTCCACAAAGCATGGTGCACAATTAACTTCTAATGAAGTTACTAGGGATTTAATAACAAATGATAAATGAAAGAGGAACATTGGCCTTTATACAGTTTGTGCTTCTTTAACGGGTACCCTTAGTTTTAACTAACTAATTAAACAGACACACGTGCTAATGAAATAACTGAACATGTTTCACGCATGGCGATATTTATTACAACAATGTAAATTTACACCGAAATAAAGAATTTGTTTTTATTTCCACTTTCATTTATTTTATGTAATAGGTTAAAGTTTACAGCGCGTCCACGATTGGACAACAGATAGTATTGACATATTTCAATACAACAAACTCTTTAAAGGTAACATGTACACTAAAGACAAGATAATGCATAAAAAATAAAAATTATTCTTTTTAATAAATACAAGAAATGTAAAAAAAAACTGTAGTTTTATTTGTACTTTAAACCCATTACATTAAACAACTCGGACATTTTAAATCATAAAAAAATGTCTAATACAGCTTACGTGATTAAAACCAAGTCATACCCTTTCATAACTAAGTTTACCGATGTTCTGCCTAAATATATGTACCATATCAATTCTTCTGTGTAACAAGAATTAACGAAGTGATCCTAAGAAAACCATTTCGAATTTTATGCTCTGGGTATTTCAACAAAAATATATTAAAACAGGAAGAAAAGTTTTATTGCAAAATGACCCAAGAAACTAAAATCTGGGTTGTTTTGTTATGTTTACATTCATATAAAATAATTTATAAAAATAACTCGTGAAAAGAACCTGTAATATATTTACTTACGAATAAACAAGTAAATGAGTTTTAAAACCTCTTTCTTTCTTTTTAAAACCTAACGTTTCGCTAGTTTACCTTATGTCACATCGGGCCATTTGCGGTGTCCACCGAGGGGAGTCAAACCCGTGATTTAAGGTAAATCCGTAGGCTTACCGCTGTCCCACTGGGGGACATGACTTGGTAAACCTAACGAAACGTAGCGTTTGAAAAAAAAAAAAAAAGATATTTTAAAATATGTTTACTCAGTTGACCGTAAATAAAAATTCCTACAGCAACTAAGCTGGCAACATTGATACAACGTTTTCTTTTGTATAGTTTCTTTTCCCCGGCAAACGAATTACCAGTTTTTGTTCTCATCACCATTTTCAACATCCATTGAATAAAAATAGTAACCGGTTGACAAAAACTCTGTTGTGGGAAATAAATCATAAATATTTCTGTACGATTATTAATAACTAGAAATTCCGTATAAGAGTGATAACCAGATTTTCTTAAGTTTTGTGTTTATACTTCAACCCCACCTTATATGTACTATGCAAAACAAAACCCAACCAAAACCCACAAACATGCAGATAGGACTAAAATATAACAAAACTAATTTTCTAATATATAGAACATACCTTTCTTTCCGTTAAAACTAAATCTCTTTTAACACGAAAGAAGTTAACATACAATACACTTTATATTGTTTCTAGCTATCAAACAAGAAATTTTATAATCAACAACCTCGTTCAGATGTTTTACAACCTCACCTATTTAATACTTGACCCTGTATTTTAGAGATTCTATTTTTTTCAAAAGGATCATACAAAAATACACCTATCAGAGGAGAGAACCACTATTTATAACGACTTAAAACAACAACAACAACGACGACAAACAAACAGCAATGTGAGTTAGGACCAACGCGATCAAAGTATTTCTCTGACGAAGATACTTAGCTGTCTTGTTGGATATTTAGAGAATCTTAACAACATTATACAGTTTTCTAATTCCTCGTTATTTTTTCTTAATGCTTTGTATCAATATAAACTGCATTATGTCTTATGGTACCATTAAAAAGCACACTAAAGAAGATGGCTACTTTTTTCTACTCGGAGTTCTCACCTTTTCGTTAAATTATATATATATTTGCTTTGCTTATTCCTTACCTGTAGTCATTTTGTACACACGTCATTATTAATATCGCAGCACATTTACTACTAAACCTCTCACTATGAGCCCACCTGCACGGAGTGCACACACTTGTGGAGTATTAGAATATACAGGATGACGCAGTGATCGGCTGGAATCTGAAAATCTTTCGATTTTTCAGCTTTACCAATTCCAAAAATAGCATACCTTTTGTAATGTATTCTTATCAACCATTCTGGTATGCAAATTCTTAGTTGTGTAAAATCATGCATGTCAGGCACTATATGTACAAGTTACAAACATTCAAAGTTAACACTACGTTGATAGAACCGTTTAAAGTACACTCAAAAACAGACATATATATATATATATAGTCAAGAACAGCAATTCAAATCGAAAGTCAATTCAAGATATCAATATTTGGAATACCATTATCAGAACACTAAACACTGCTAACCATGTGCTCATGAACAAGCACTACCACACAAACAATATATCGGTAAAGATACTCATAAATTTCTGTCCTTAACATAAACATTACGAGAAGAAAGCAGACTAAAACATGCAGATCATCTTCAATTACATTCTAACACCTTAACGCCAAGCGTTAATTAGTATGTATCTCCGCTGGTAGAAAATACAATCTAAATGTAGCAAAATAAACATAATACCATATGTCATAAAGCGCACTGAAATTCTAGCCTGTCGTCACGTTTAGTTGTGTTTGATTTTCTTTTCTTCATTTGCCTCGGAAAGTTCTTAAGAAAAAATAAACTCTTACTTCAGGTTCATTCCTACCTCTAACAAAGGTTCTACTTTACTTCAGGTTCATTCCTACCTCTAACAAAGGTTCTACTTTACTTCAGGTTCATTCCTACCTCTAACAAAGGTTCTACTTTACTTCAGGTTCATTCCTACCTCTAACAAAGGTTCTATTTTACTTCAGGTTCATTTTCTATCCAACAAAGGTTCTAATTTCTTTTATTTCAGGTTCATTTTATATCCAACAAAGGTTCTACTTCATTTACCTCAGGTTCATTCTCTATCTAACAAATACTCTAGATTTACTTCAGGTTCATTCCTACCTCTAACAAAGGTTCTACTTTACTTCAGGTTCATTTTCTATCCAACAAAGGTTCTAATTTCCTTTATTTCAGGTTCATTCTCTATCTAACAAATACTCTAGATTTACTTCAGGTTCATTCCTACCTCTAACAAAGGTTCT